CGGCGGAGCACGGAGCAGTGTGATAATCGTCTAAGTGAGATGAAGTCTCGGATGGTACATCTACATCTGCTACATCTGCCCTGTAAGTGCCTCATCATCATCATCAACAGCCCTTTACAGTCCACTGCTGGACTATGAGCCTCCTCCACTATAGTGGACGGTTTTGCCATAATCTCCACGCTTGGCAGGCGGGTTGGAGATCGCAGTTTAAAATCAGGGTTCGAAAATATCCGATATTTATTATAAATATCAAAATATCGGATATTTATGATATATATCCGATATATATCAACTTTGATATATATCAATTTTGTATGAAAGCCATAGTATTATTTTATTGTATTATTCATGAATACTATTGCATAAGTGTTACATAAACATGTTTTTAATGTTTTTAAAACTTAAAATCAGACAAATAAAGCAAAAACATAAAATATCTTTGAAATACGGCAAAATCAACTAAAAAAATAAAAATCTTATGTCAAAAAGTACAAATACAGTAACAAATTTTAAAAGTTGATATATATCATCAAAACCGGCTTGATATATATCGGATATATATCCGATATATATCTTGATATATATCCCTTGATATATATCCTCGAACCCTGTTTAAAATATTGATGTTTTTCAGAGAGCGCTGCTGCCCGTTCTCTGTTTGATGTGTAGTCCCTAAGTCGCCTCTTACGACACCCGCGGGAAGAGTAGGGGTTGGTGACAAATGTATTCTACTCTGACGTCACCACACGGCTTAGTGCCTATTCACTCAGAATGAATTATTATATCCCATCTCCAGGTCAAGAAGGGCGAAGAGATCATGGGCACGTTTTCGATGCGCCAGAACGCTCGCAACAACCGCGACCTGGACTTCGAAGTCGAGATCGACTTCAAGGGCGAACTGTGTCAGGTCCAGGAGAAGAACCACTACAGGATGCGCTGAGGCACGCCCTGGCCACCGCAGGAGTAACCGTGAACGCTGTATTCTGATTTTACCTGTAAGTTACTGCAATGTGAATTGAAGTTTCGAAGTCACATTTTTGTTTCCCGTAGCTTTTACACTCGGACCAAGATTATGTAAAGCCTGGTCTCCGAGCACGTAGAAGTTTGTCCAATGACCCCAAGCTACCCATCCTTATCGCTCGCGCGAAATTATGTTGCTATCGCGCTCGCACACTCACTGCGGGTGCCAGTCGCACAGTCGCGACAGCAATATAATTACACTCGAGCGATAAGGATGGGTAGCTTGGGGTCATTGGACAAAATTCTACGTGCTCACGGACCAGACTATAGTAGGTTTTTTTGGGCAACTATAATCGATATTGATTACCAAAGTAATTTTAACATTTCTTTAAGACTACTTGAACAATTTGAAATTTTTTGAGGGTAAAAATTATGTAATTTTAAAACGCCTATAAACTTATTTTACAAACTATTTTTGTAGTAAATGAATTAACCTGCTTATGCACAGCTTCAGAAATTGTGTAAAAACATTGCCTAAGAACAGAATACAGCATTCACGACCCATACGATCTGCAAATTAATGTTAACTTCAATGTAATCCAATGCTGTGTCAACTCGAAATTTTTTGTTTCTTCATTATTCATTATTGTGATACTCCCTGGTGGAGATTGTAACGTTTTGGTGGTCTTCGGTGTTGTAATTTTGTCTATGTCGAAGCTTTATGGTGAGAAAATATTGTGTGGTGTATTTTCAAAAACTTTGGGCCTATCTTTAAGCGGTAATAATAAGGTTAGTTTTTGATTAAACCAAACACAGTGTGAAAAGCCGCCATAAAATTGATAACAAAAACTTCGTTCTTGGGTTGACACGGTGTTGTCTAATTGAATACAATTTTAATTTTACATTAAACACCCAAAGGATGGGCGAGATCGTCTTCGTGATATTGCAACCAATTTATTCGATGTCAATATAAGTAATTTTGAATGTCAAATCATTTCGTAGGTGCCTTCAGGATTCACAAAATATACCACATCTGATAAGAGTGGTTGATCAGTTTCGTAAAACCTCATATCATTTTGTTTGCATGTGTAGTTGCTGTTACAAATGAGAATGAATGTTACAGTTTTTGCTAATTAATGCAAAATGTTACTTATTTCATTTATGTTTTAATATGTAGGATCAGAATTTAAACCTCATTTTTGAGTCGTTTAAAAACTAACTTCGAACTGAAGGCTGGCTTCTCGTTAACGAATTTGTAACGTCACTGTATCATTACGGTCGCTGTGTTAATTTTAATTAATTATTAAGTGTTCGAACTCACTTTTCAAACATACGATTTCTAAAAATAGCTAGATTTACTGTAGCAAAGAACTCCAGTTTGTTGAGATTAGTTAAGCAGTTAAGACAAGTGGCAGATAGCATAGAAATAATGTTAGTAAATGAATTATACCTTATACTTATACAGTGTTCAAAGGATATTGTAACGAAAAGTGACTTCGAACTGCATCTTATGTATGAGTAAGATTCTCATGTTTGTATTAAACCGCCTAAGGATTCTCCCCGGCGATTACAAGTATGTACGAGCCGGGAAACGCTAGTTTTCAGACTAAAACTTGTTCTACGGTCTTTTGTAATTAAATTAAAACTAGTCGAGTCGTCAACTATTGACTTGACTCTAAATATTTTTCTAGTTTCACTGAATGTAGGTACAGAGATGTTGGTTTTGTTATTAGTGGCAAAATAATGATTGTGTTGATTTTTTGTAAAGAAAATTGAATTCCAATAGTAGATTTTATATAAAATTTGTAATCGTCACATTATATTTTTCAAATAAAATTTAATTAAACGGGAGACTAAATAACAAAACTAGCATATTAGTGTACCTATGAACCCTTCCCAGTATTGTTTGTGTCAAAGTGCAAAGTAAAATATACTCTGTCTGAGGATTAGGTCACTCTTTGTAGACACCAATGCCAATGACAAGCTAGTTGAGCCATTGTGGCGGATCCAGTTTTCTATAATGTAGCGAATGATGATTGTATGTAAGTATGGTTAAGTATTCGAGGTGCATAAACGAGTTAAGCAGACCCTGTTGTTTTATTTCTACTGTTACTAATAAAAAAAAACTAGAATTATCCAGTAGGCGTAGTATGCGCGCCGCGATAAGCGTTTATCACCCCATTTTATCGATTTTACGCGATAAGCCCATACATTTGTCGTCTAAAATCATCGATATGATTTTATCACGGCGCGCATCCTAGCTCGGCTGGTGTAGGAAGAGTCAAAAATAAACACAACTCCTTGTAATTCTTATTATATTGATAACTTATAAAATTAGAACGTAAATACACTTAAGAAGTACTTCAGACAGGACAGAATACGAGAGCCGACTTAAAGTTAAAATGCAAATTACTCTGCGTCGGCAAGCTTGTGACAACGCACAGTAAATATGTTCGACAAGGTAAAGTTTAATGAGTATCAGGCAGTATAGATTGTAAATATTCAACAGTTGGTATTACATTGGTTTATTTTTATTTTAACTTGTGTAAATGTACAGTCGACATCAAAAATATCTTTACAGCGATAGAGCAAATAATTCTAATCTCTTATAGCACACTTAATACTCTTCTAAGGACTTTTACAGCCTGTACAGGAGAGCACATACATTTTTGTTGCTAAAAAGCAATTAATAAGATACCGCAGTATTTAGCTTGATGTACTGTCTTCTGTACAAGGATGAGGGATCACATACTCTCTAATATGCGTGAAGAGGATGATAGTAAATCAATCTAAACACTGAATATTTTTTTTATTGTAATTGGTGGTATTTTACAACAAAAACGTAGAGTCGATTGTACCTACAATTTAATGATAGAGTTCTTAGGAATACATAAGTAGTAAGTTGTATGTCATATTAAATTGTTTAATATGATGATGTTGCATTTTGTTCAGTAATTGCGGAAATAATAGACTACGGTTATACACACTTGAAATGGATCAAATGGATGTGTGAAATATTGAAAAAAAAAAAAAAAACAAATTATATTAAAAAATCTTTTTGTTTGCCAACTTGAAAAAATAAATAAATTCGTTTCGTGTCTGTCTGGCCAGTCACAGCCAGTGTTGTCTCATTGATGTAGCAACAAATAGCACAATATTTAAGTCTATCTAGATTTCTGGATCTAATCTAGACTCTACAATTAAAACTTAATCAATTTCTCATTACAATCTCAACCCTTATAACTATTTATCGTTACTTATTACAAAAATACAGTCTATGAAGATTTATTTTAGACAGTCATGCATAGAATAATGAAATTAATGAGTTGATGATGATGACAAAAAATTAAATGGATTATGAAAATAATGATAATGATGTTAAAAACGAATTTTGATGATGATGATGACGATGACGATGATAATTAATGAGAGAAAATGAATGAAGAAAATACGAATGAAAATAATCGAAAAACTAATATCAGTCGATGCAGAGCTAGATGTTTCTATGCATGACTGTCCTTCCTTATTCGCATGTTTACTACATTTACTTTGAGCTTTATTGAGCATTTTTCGAATTCTACTTACGACTGAACTTCTGACAGTGATGCTCTGATTCGAAGCAAAATGTTTGAGTCTCGATTCTGCGCTAATAAGCAGAACATCAACCTACCAAAAAATGAGTAATTGCTTTGATGAATTTGGACTTTTGTCTTCAGTAAGTTCAAGTTCGTAAATCAATGAGCCTATGGTTTAATATACAGCAGTTGGCACCACTGACGGGAGACAGGACCTTACTACAGGGTGTTAGGTAAATGGGTATATGAGCCGACACTAACTAGCCCATGTTAACATGGCCATATAAATGGTATGGTGAAGTCAGAAAGATATCATCATTTTATTTTTTTTTATTTTCATACAAAATAAATTTTATTAAATCCGATTTGTATGAAAATTAAAATAATTAAAATGAAGATATCAATTTTCTGACTTCACCATACCTTCCATTTATACATATATGCCTATGTTAACATGGGCTAATGTCGGCTCAAATACCCATTTACCTAACTAACACCCTGTATACAGTGCCGCCGGGATCATTCTACTTATCAGTTAGCACCACTGGTGAGTGACAGGACCTTATTCTAAAGCGCCATCCTGGTGAGTGCAAATGTGATATTTCTCCTGCCGATTCACGCAAGTAAAGTGACAAGAAGACCAGGAGTACCAGGACCTCTACAGTGGCGCCAACTGGTAAGCGCTAAAAGCGATAGACCTCATTGTGTTTGATATTTTGTAATAGGTTGATGTCGACTAGATGTTGGGAGTCGTTTAGGCAACAACAGGAATCGGTGGCTGCACAGGAGGCACCCCGCCGTTCTTGTACAGGTCGACGCAGCAGCAGCTGGAGATCAGGTTGTACTCCTGGCAGGAGTTCGCGTACAGGAACCCGCAGCTCGACTTGCGGCATGTGAACGGCATGTCTGGAAAATAACACGAATGGATTGTTGAAAATATTGCGTGAATATTTGTCTGCTCAATAACATGCTAAATATTTATTTATTTATTTATTAATAAGTGAGTCCCAGGTGGGCGGCGTAGGACCGGTCCTTGTGGAAATCCTTGGGGGAGGCCTTTGTGCCTTTGTCCAACAGTGATGTCATTTGGCTAAGTAAAACGACGATGACGACTAACTAATTTATCTTAATGGGACTAGGGAGGTCCTAATGATTAAAGTGTGAATTTATTGTCCTCTAGGTTCAGTTCTTGGTCGGTTTAATTCAAGAGAAAGGACCGACGATTTAATCTAAATTCATTCGGTTTAGAAGTATTCGAAACTGTCCCACTGAAGGGCTAACTAGGTACTTACTAATTCTTCAAGCTTTAAAAGGTAATAATAGTATCAAATAGACATTATTACAGGTAAGTAATATGCCTGTGTTAAGTGGCAATAGAAAAAAATACTCACACGAGGGATTGTCACAACAGCACGCATCATGGGCTTGCTTGTATGAACAGTAGCTGTAGACCGACGAATCGCACAGCGGACATCCAGGGTGCGCGCCCGGCGGCCCCGCCAGACCCGGGTTATACCCCTGGTAGTTCCCGCCTGGGTAGTTCCCGCCTGGGTAATACCCCCCTGGTCCGTTCGGGTAGTACTGCCCGTAGCTGCCCGCTAGTAAAAAGTCCAGGAAGTCTCTTATTCCGAAACCTGTTGAAAGCGTTAGTGATGACATGAGATGAGGTTAGGCGGTGAGGTGACGGCGTGAACCCAAACCATGACATGGCCTGATTCAATGAATGAGAATAATTTATTCGAGCTTTTTTCACATAAACACTGTACAGTGGCGGACTTAATGCCGGGTGGCATTCTCTACCTGTCAACCACAGGTAAAAAAAATCAAAAACATTTTATTCAATTTTAACCAAGATTTTAGCATTTATGAACGTCAAAAATAATAAAAAAGGTAGCACTTTATATGTCTGCTTATATCATGCCATATTATGGCAAGTGCTGAGAAGAAACGCAACTACTTAACTCTGAGAGACTGAGAAAGTAAGGCGGTGCAAATATTGCAATAATTTATTATTAATTTTGATAATCAAGGCAGATTCATTTGGATCATTCCGTGCCTCTACCATAGAGCAATAAAGCCTGAGAATCTTCTTAACTCATTTCAAATTTAGAATGTTACATTTCAGAAGACGCAGGCGCAGAGATCAATGGAGATAATTTGAAAATAGAACATGCATAGCTCAGTGTGGACTGTCAAGTTGTTTGATAAGCTTGTTGATGCTATTTATTTTGTATTTTTTTCGAAAATTGTTTATTTTTAGTGGTCATATTATAAAAACTGATTAATAAACATTGAAAATAATTAAGTAAAGGTACTCGTACAGTGAAGGAGTGAAAAGTGCTAAAAGTTTAGTGTGAAATGGTGATTTGGATCGGGAGCGTGGGTGCTGGCTGTTCAGGGTAAGTGAAAATTTAATTAACAGGCTAATTTACTTAATCTTTAATGTGTCTTTAATCTGAAAACAGACTATTAAGTTCATATTTAGGCAGGCTTATCGATTAAAATCTTCGTTGTTATTATTATCATGTAACATTAAAATTCATACAATTTTTGTATGTAAATTAGCATTAATTAGTATTGTACAGCCAGATGATTTCCTCATCAAATAATTTAGTCACACCTCGTTACGCATTTTTTGTAGTGCAGCCGATGCAACCTTGTTTAATATGCTCAATGAACTTGTATGACGTCTTTACTCGTAAGTTCAAATCATTGTTTATGACCTATTTATACGAGAATATTCATTGTTAAAATAATATCTTTAATGAATAGGCGACCGCATACTAACGTCCCTTACATAGGGGCCGTCCATATATTACGTCATTCTAAATTAGGGGGGGGGGGGGGGGGGGGGTCATTAAGAAATGACGATAGGATGATTGTAGGGGGGGGGGTCTAAAATCTGAAAAAATCGATGACGTAATTTATGGACGGCCCCATAGTGCAGTATTTTGGCCATAAACCACGTAGGTAGATACTTAATTATTTTGTTAATTGGGCACTTTGAACGCGTTAATTTTGGGCACTGTTAGACAATCGCATGACCTTGTTAGTTTTCCTTGTTTCTTTTAAATAAGACGAGTAATTAGTGAGAAGACGCATTTGTAAGTTCATATTGTATGAAGATAAGCATTAGGTATGAGGTTACCTGTTTTTGTTTATCTTTGTGTCGCTAATTATTACGGAAATATTAATTTTCATACATAGATAAAACTTTTAAATGTTTTTTTTTCTAATAAAGAAAAAAAAACTACTGTTCTATCCATTTGGCAAAATTGTTGAAGTAGGTATTTATACCTATGCATTCAGTATTTTAGTTTTTTCATGATATTTCTACCTAATGTGTTGGAATCTTACGGTCCTAGCTATTCTAAGATAGTATCAGAACCAATACAAGAACACTTGCTTAGATTTTCTGTAAGTTGTCGTAAGATTGATCGAAATAGTGCTTAGATGCGCCACTGGTGTTTAATAAATACTTGTTTAATTTTCTATTAAAATTATAGAAACTAGCATTAATTAAATTGATGATAGGTACTATTAAAATTACAAGCGTATCCGTTTCTCTTAATTGCTTTCAGTACAAGTACAATTTCATACCAACAGGATTAGAAAACTGATTTCAATAATGACCATACCGCAGCTGGCTGTGTCCAACTAACCTATTCTAGAAAAAAATAATTTAATGTGAAAATAACTAACGACTCTAACGAGAATATTGAGTGGAGTAATTTTATTGGTTTCTAAGTTTCTCCTATTAACCGATTGATTTACAAAAGGAAAAATAGGGGTTTCTATTAATCTCGAAGTTACATCGTTTCTTGATCTCTAAATTGACAATCGCGTAATATGCAACGCAGTGTATTTTGCTTCTCACTTTAAAATGTGAAAATTGAAATGATGACAATTATTTTTAAAGTTTAACCATCGCTAAATAAAATGTAGCAGCACGTTTCACTGATGCGGGTCTTAACATTTAAATCCACAGTGTTATCAATAGTGAAAATTATTGTGAGTCGGTTGTTTGTTCATATGTACCTACTCGTATCTATTATAAAGTCCCTTAACTACCTTCTGTGCATTTAATTTAGGTAGGTTTAACCGTTAGTATAGTGCTAATTAAAGATGCAGTTAAAGTTTTAGTAAGTTGATGATGGCAAATGGCAATGAAATCGCGTGCGATGTATGGTGTGATTATTATTTAATGACAATATGAATTATTACTATTATATTAGTAATCTCATAGAAACTTGATGGTATACCATACGAATTGCCGTTGCCGAGTCGTCTGCTCAACTCGTAATTTTTCGACACAACACCTATTAAAATTAAAAACCATTCAGTATAAAATACTGGAAATTGACAATTATACAACATCAGCATTTTTGTTAAATTAAATTAAGAATTTATGTAAATATAGAAAGAAAGAAGGCATTCTGTGTTCTAGATGATGATTATGATCCTTCACCTTAACGTGAAATGGTTCTGTTTTATAATTTTAACAATGATATTAAGATTTTTACCAATTGAAGGGCTGTTTCCGAGCAGCCGGTTTCTGCTCACATCGTAATTTGTAGGTTCTATACCTATTAAAATAATACATTAAATTAAATCAATCTCTCTCTCATTAAATTAATCTTTTGACCTACTCATAACAAGGAAGATAGGTACACAATTAATGCTTTGAATAAAGGGGTCTAAGTTCTCTACAACAGTTCTTGATCAATACGTTCTTACCCACAAAAAACCCTTATAATGAAATAAATAAATATTCTAAGTAAATTGAACATCCCTTGAGACAATATCATCAATAATTGAGTATTTTTACGTGGTATCAATCCCCTAGCATTATTTTTACAAGGGACATAGAATCTAAAACAAAGTTAAGTAGGTACCTATTCGACCTTATTTGTTTGCCTTAGATATTATTATTGTCTCACACTTTGTAGCTATTTTATTTCTGAGAAAGCTTTTTTTAGCCAAACAAAAGAAAACATTGTCATAATATTGATGAAAGACATTAATTTATAAGCTTTCATAGATTTTTGTCAAAATAGGTAACGAAGAAATATCTAATTCAGTTTTAATATTGTGCCTAAAGCATTTTCATGACAATAATTTACGTTACTAAATTGTTTAGTAAATAATTAATTAATGTGTGTGCATCTTTGAATGAATTGAGTAAAAACCTATAAAATAATATTAACTGACAGTTAAATATTTGCAACAATATTTCTGTTAGATGTAGGGTAGGTATACTTAACATTGATGAAACAAACGCTGGCTGTAACAGCGTATTAAACTTGAAAATTTCGACGGGTTCATCCAGTGTCTAAGTAGCTCAGTTGGAAGAGCAGTCGCCCGGCAAGCGGAAGGTCGTGGGTTCAATTCCCGCCTTAGGCAGTTCGATTTTTTCAAGTTATTTATTTAATTTTAATCGTGCGTTGGGGAAGGTGTAGTACCTAGGCAGTTTATGACATATTGATTAACCATTGACTGCATGAATATCAGCAGAAATGCATCGTCATTCGTCATCATTTCTACCTAAATAAGCTTTAAGTAGGTACTTACTTATTCGAGTTGCTCGAGTAATGTTCAAAATATTGACAACTTGACTTTTATCAATATCTGAAAATATTTTGATTATTTTATAGATTTCAATAGAAAATGTTCAATGTGTACTGAAAATCACCTGTCTTTTAGTAATTGTTAAGGGGAATTTGTGGAAGGGAAATTAATTGTTGGCTTATTATTTTCAAAATGAGTAATTTTCAGAACGTTTCTTTCGATGACTGAACCTTTTTATGAAATAGGATTAACGCTGTGAAAAGAGAAACAAAATCCCAATTTTTATCATCGGTTTCAAAAAATATTGTAATCTGCCAGTAATTTATTCCGTAAAAAATTAAAAAAATCTTTTTAAAAACTCACCAAAGCTGCTAGCAAATGTAGCCGCGAAAATTAAAAAGAAAACTTTGATTTCCATGTTTAACCAATGAGTCACTTCACTTTAAATTATTTATTTTTTCGATCCCAGTGGTCTGAGTGGCGTGCACCGGCGTCGGATCCAGTATACAGATGAAAACAACTTATGCCTTAGTTTATAGCCAGTAGATCTACCAGTAACATCGAGTGGAAAAGCCAGTTCGATGTTATGGTTAATAAATGTGGCGTGTAATTGATTCTTTTCTAATGTAAGAAACATATCTCAAGTAAATATAAAATCAATTTATTTTAATGTTATGTATGCCAAGGTAAAGAAAATACATTGCCCTTTATAAATAGAAAGTAATAAGCAATAAATGAGAAATAAGATGAAACGAGCTCATTTAATATTGGAAAAGTTTCATTGTTTTGAGCTTTTACCCCATAAATAGATACTTGCTGATCTATTTTTATCTTTTAGGGTCATATCGGTTTAATGAATTAAATTAAATTAAACTAATATTCCTAATGAGTTAGTTTTGGTGGTGCATTTATTAGGCTCTGTTGCGCTCTATTAAGTAAATAAAGTATCTACATTAGAACGTCACACAATGTAAGATCATCTTTATGGATCTGGAATTTTAACTATTTTAGATCTGGCCGAAAAAAAAAACAAACAAAACAGTTGAAAACCGATATTTTAAATGCTAAAGCGATTGAAAAGTGTTTGCCATTTTCTGTACTTGTCCACAGCCAATCATGGATGCATTTAAATAGTGGTCCAAGGGCCGGCAGTCGTCCTTAAACTCTTTGCTAGCCCGTTCTCTGGCAATTACCGACTGGTTATGATATAACCGACGGTTTACTGGCAGGAAAATACATTTAACGAACATTAGGTGACTTGGGACATTTGTAAGGATATTTTATGCCTTTGCTCTTTATGAAAAAAAAATATATAAGTAGGTATACATATGATGATATGTATTTTAACAGCCTTTACAGTACCTATGTTTAATGTATGGCATGGCTATAGTAGGCATAGTATGGCTTGTCCTTATTAAAATGTTTAACTTTTTTTATAGAAATGTTAAATTGATCCAACTCAACTCTATTAGTAAGAAGTTTAAGCATATTTTTGTACAACGAATATTATTCTATTTTCGAGACACTCAGTACCAGGTTTTAATCGTTGATCAAAAACTGGATTGATAACAATATTAACAATTGAGTTTTCTCTTAAAACCACTGTGCATAAGTAGGGTAAGTATCCTATTTATCCTTTAAAACATCATTATTCTTCTCTCCACTCACTTTGCAAAGTATAAAATGCTCATAACAATGGGACACATTACGAAGGCACAGAACTTTTCGCCGCGACTGTACTGCGTTGAAGCTACACACAATAAGTTCATTAACAAAATTTGAATATTCTCATATCTATTCATTTTTATGTATATTAGCATTATTTGAATACCAAATATGGAAGTGCGGGATAAACGGTTTAGTCTCCATTTCCACAGCCTATAGGTTTTGGCATCCAGTTTTATAGGGAGCTGGAAATGTACAAACATTAGGCCGTCTGTGTTTGTCCTTGTTAAAGGTTAACACTTCTGTTAGGGTTGCCAGATCTTAAAATGAACTGGAAAGCTAATATCTTTGAAGGGTAAGCCGGATCCTTAAGATATATGTATTGTATATGGATATTTATTAATTTTCAGCTACATGTTAGATGGAAAACATCTAATTTGTCGGTCAGGCGTTTGCATTCTCATTTGACGTATACTTATCTGCATTCAGGTCACTTTTCAGGGAATATTGCATATTTTTGTATTAGGTAGAGCTAAAGTAGGTCATAATCTTCCAGATAATTTTAATATCGTAAGGTTTTTAATCTTTTTGTTTAATAAATTCACGTGTAAAAAAACTTTGATCAAAAACAAAATAAGTGCAAAGAAATACATATATTATTTTGAAATGGGCAGACCTTAACTCCCGTGTCGTGTACTGGACAGTCTCTCCCAGAAACTATTCAGATATTTGTCTTATGGGGGACATTTTTTTTATGATCTAGCTAATAAGAGGGTATTATGATTATTTTTTTGAACAGAAATACTATGATAGTGTTGTTAAAGTGTAATTAAAATTATATTGAAACACTTACTATTGTTTGTACCCCAGATAAATAACTACTTCAATGAAAAATCTGCTTGTACAAAATAAGGCATACGGGTGCATGGTCATCAATATTGTTTGGTATGTTTCCTTGTAGGCCAGTAGAATTAAACACAAAAATTGATTAAATCGGAAATAATTCCTACAAAAGATTTTTTTGCTTTAATGGCTTCATTGGTTGCCCATTAAGACTCTCCTAAGTTTTCGACTTCGACGGAGTTGTGTTTAAGTGGTGGGGGCCCCCGAAAGCGGCGTTTTTTCGGTTTTCCGGTTATACCGCGTAAAGGACTTACCCTAGCGAAAAGTGGTCTTCATGACGGTTAAAGGGCACTTAATCCTGCATTGAATAAGACCAAATTCATATGTTTTGGACAAACCGTTCTCGCGCTAAAGTTCGGCAAAGTAGAAAATATACGTATAATTAATGACCCTCTCCACGTCCAATGGCTGGTTACCCACAGGCTTCCAAGCCTTGTAAAGGGTCGCCTTAATCAGTGTAACCCTAACAAGGCTCACGAGTTTGATTCGCCTATCCTTGTTCGTCCCAGCCGTTCCTTAACTGCGGTTGCTGCACCTCTTCCTGACACTCTCCTGAACGACTCTGTGTTACCTAATGTGGCTGCCTCTCTTCCTTGTACCCTCCTGTACGATTGCATTGCTTAGCTATATGCCTGGTCCAAGGTTCGACGCCACAAAATCAACTTTGTACGCGTGAAAATAGTTTAAATACTATTTTCCGTGCTTGCAACATTTTTCTTTACTGCTTCGCCTCTATTAGTCGTAGAGTGATTGTATATATCCTATAGCCTTCCTCAATGTATGAGCTATTCAACACAAAAATAATGATTTCAATCAAACTAGTAATTCTTAAGATTAGCGCGTTCAAACAAACAAACAAAAAACTCTTCAGCGTTTTAATATGAACTTGTTGTTGTTGATTTTTGGCGTCGAACCTTAGACCAGGCATACGGCTAGGCAACGTAGTCATGCAGGAGGATACAAGGAAGAGGGGCAGCCACAGTAGGTAACACAGAGTCGTTCAGGTGAGTGCCAGGAAGAGGTGCAGCAACCGCAGTTAAGGAACGGCTGGGACGAACAAGGATAGGCGCATCAAGCTCGTAAGCCTTGATAGGGTTACACTGGTTGAGGTGGCCCTTTTCAAGACTTGGAAGCCTGTGGGTAACAAACCATTGGACGTGGAGAGGGTCATTAATTATACGTATATTTTCTACTTTGCCGAACTTTAGCGCGAGAACGGTTTGTCCAAAACATATGAATTTGGTCTTATTCAATGCAGGATTAAGTGCCCTTTAACCGTCATGAAGACCACTTTTCGATAGGGTAAGTCCTTTACGCGGTATAACCGGAAAACCGAAAAAACGCCGCTTTCGGGGGCCCCCACCACTTAAGCACAACTCCGTCGAAGTCGAAAACTTAGGAGAGTCTTAATGGGCAACCAATGAAGCCATTAAAACAATAAAATCTTTTGTAGGAATTATTTCCGATTTAAAAGCTAATTCTACTGGACTATTGAGACTATATTCAAGGTAGTTTAATCTGTGGGTGCATTTACCTTGCTAGGCAATCGTATTCCATTTATTAAAAAACTAGCTTTCCGCCCGCGGCTTCGCCCGCGTGGATTTTTGTCTGTCACAGAAAAACTTTATCGCGCGCGTCCCTGTTTCAAAAACCGGGATAAAAACTATCCTATGTTCTTTCCCGGGACTCAAACTATCTCTATGCCAAATTTCATCAAAATCGGTTGCGAGGTTTAAGCGGGAAAGCGTAACAGACAGACAGACAGACAGACAGACAGACAGACAGAGTTACTTTCGCATTTATAATATTAGTTGGGATATTTTACTTTGGTTGAGGTATTCTGCTAGAAGCACGATAAATATACCTCTTTCTTGAATAGCCCACAAGGTGGACAGACGACATCATAAAGGTAGCAGGAAGGCGCTGGATGCAGGCCGCTATCAACCGGGCAATATGGAAAGCATTGGGGAAGGCCTATGTTCAACAGTGGACGTCCTATGGCTGAGATGATGATGATGATGATGAATAGCCAGCTTTCTTCATTAAAAGTAAGTTACCTTATTAATTTTCTGAAAATACTTTTAGAAATGTTATTAACACTTTCGTCGCCGTTTGTACCCAGGACACTCAGGTATCCTCGCAACTGGTATGGGCGCTATGCGCATCTAAACAACCCCGTCGGCCATCTTGGCTGTCCTTGCGCTATTTCTGTTAATGTCAGGGTCCAAGGTAGTTGACCTGAGACCGACGACCCCGGGTACCGTTCGCAAACCAGTCTAGTGGACATGTCTTAATGAAGATTTGCATTAGTTATTAGATTTAGTTTTTGTGAATCATCAATGTCGTAGAGACAGGTAACAGTTATGATTGGGATTGGCGGTTTAAGTTTTTTGTCTGATTTTTTTAATCCTCAACGAGGAAGTTTTTGGCTTGCATCTCACCTGATGGGCATTTGACAGGTTTTGATGGCAATCTCCCTAATACCTATGATAGGTGATGATGGTTAAAAGTTCGGCTAAGTAACTAGGTCGGAGACCGCGAACTCGATGTTCACGTAAAACCAACTTAATTAAGTGTTCTTATATTTCAACCAAAATACGTCAACTGCTGTACAAAGACCTCCCCTGTAGCTTTCCACAACTCTTTTATTGGACTTAGACAAAAAAACAGGTTTTTTTTTATAGACGTTGTCTGGTATTCTTACGGTTATGTTACTACTGCTTGATATGCTGGTTCTATAGATGGTGCGCATCGTGTTAAATATCCAAGGAACGCTTAGACTGGGTTGCACCATCTTACTTTAACTTTAACCAACGTCAAAAATCTGTCAAACTCCGTACCTACAAAAGCCCAGGTTATCGTTATAGTTATAGTTACGGTTAAATTTAGGTGGTGCAACTCAGCCGTAGTCACATCAGCGCCAAGCTTGATACAAAGGAAATGCACAATTATTTACTGCGTTGAAAAGATAATTTATTTTTTATGTAAATGAGTACATGTTCTTGGCACATAAATATTATTTACGATTTTACCTTTGTGTAATGTTAGTGATAATAAAAAATGAGGACTTGCATTTATATTTAATCTAGTTGGATTAAATCAATGCTTGAACTGTACGTACACTACTACTGTACCTGCAGCTGCCTTCAGTTTTTGTTGCAATGAAGGCACAGCAGTGTGGACTTTGGTTTCACAATGTCACAAATTTTCTTTGGAACTTAGTACGTTTAATATGTACTAAGTACAATCGATCTGCCACAAAACGCAGTACTTTTAACGTTTGAACTTTAGGTTTAGTAGGTTGAAGTTCAAATAGTGTGCGCGCAGTAGGCTGTGCGTTGTTTGGGAAGCAATAGATGGCTGAATATAGAATATTGAGCTCGTAACCTGAAACGACGTTCAAAACTAGATTCAAATCCTGGAATAAGCCTGTGTGGGAGTCATTGGACTAAATATTGAAATTGCATGATATCAGGCTCGATTCCATGAAAATAGAGTATTGAGAGTTGGATTCGTTAGATAGAGCGTTCCAAATATTAATAGATGTTACAGAAATAGCATAATATTGTGATTAGTACGTAATTTTTATGTCATAGGTAATTCAATAAAACGCAAACTTCTTCCTAAGTAAAATACATTTATTTAAAGCAAAACAATAAAACGAAATAAGTATCTAATGCCCGTTTTCACCATCAATCCCTAATTTTTAAGTGACCCCTATGGTAACACATAACAAGCATTTTGTTTTCATAGAGGTCACCTAAAAATTGGGGATTGATGGTGAAAACGGGCATAAGTCGTTTTAATAAAAAACATGTGACAAATGAAAATGTTCTGGACATTACTAACTTTACAGTAACTTCAATCAGATCAAGTTGTATGTTCTTTGCAAATTGATTCAATGAAAATTTTTAGTAAGTACTAAGTCATTTTCAATAATGCAATAAATTACTGAAAAAAGGTGTTTTCTCAACTTTTGGGATAAAGTTTAAAGTATTGGTCAAAATTTACCAAAATTAATCAAAATAGACACATAGTTAATTAATTAGTTTTCTTTTATTGTCTAGCTAGGTAGACCGTTGTAAGTGCTTTCTAATTAAATAAGAGTTACGCCATGCTCACACACCTTTCACTGTTCAGAATTTTACACTTACTTATGTTATAGCCATTAGGTAAATACGAGTATGTTCGCACAATACCTACCAGTACAATCTTTCTTATTTATATTAAAAGCTTACTAGTTTTATAGGTAGTTTCTTGATATCTTTCTGAACTAGACGTTGTAGTAGTAAAATCTTTACAGATTCAATTTGTTAATGGTTTTCATCTAAAAAAAGCTTAATATTTATCTTAAAGGGTAACAATAAATTAACAAAAGTAAAAAACACTTAAAGCAATTATTTGATTCGTCGCTTGCGACCTAACACAATGGTAACTTTAACTCGAGGTATATTAATATCTAGATTTAAACCTTATTCGTATTCATTTTAAAGTTCTTTACCTCTTTACTTGGTGTTTCATACCACTCATGTCATAATTAAGAAATAAGAGGTCTATTCTGGAAACCGATTTCGGCTCTACTTGCGTCTTTACCTTTGAAGTAGTAGGTTTTAAGAATAACGAATGTATCGATGTAGCTCATTAATCGAGATCGCTTTACAGAGTAGACCCCTATATTCTGTATGCCATAATAACCCTTATTCCAACTTGATATACGGCTCAAGCTTCATCGCCCTCATGATGTCCCCTGTCACGGAGCAGCGGCCGGCCTGCATGATGACCCTGGCGTCTTCTTTCCCCTGTACTAGCTGCTTGAAGTTGTGTTCCGTGAGCGTGAAGGTGGTATCAGGATCGTCCTCTGGCTCGCCTTCGAATACCGTGACTTTGTTCAGGTCCAGAGCTGGAAATGGATGATGTTCAATTAGATTCAGTTACAAAGTTTTAGTATCAATAGACAGGTTGTCGTACTAGCATTGGTTAAAAGGTTGTGATTGGTATTAAGGTCTGAGTTCTCATTGAGAGAAGCAGATATGCCACGAGCCACGTGAAGGTTGACAAACCAACACTTAAATTGATATTTTGTGGTGACCCATAAAAAGTTGTGTAGCGCACTTAGAAGGACATTTGAAGCCGTTTTAGCCAGTGCACGCCTGCGCTGTGTTTTATTATTTTTTAATCTGAACACCTTATCTAGTAATACCACACACAGAATAATAATAAGTACTGTAATACCGACTTGTATAAGTACTACTTAGAAGTTTTTAATCAGATTGGCTTGCAAGATAAAGTAAATTAGATTTTTTCCCAAATTGGATACGGTCTGTAAGCATGCAGAGACTTGAGTGTATAAATATGAAACTTGCATTGTATAGTTACTTAGTAATTTATTAGAAAGACAATTATAACTATTAGGTAATTAGGTATATTACTTATTATGAATTAGGTAGGTACGTACATTTATTTTAAGGAGAGCATGTATCGCTGACAGCTGATACTTGTTAACATTTAATTTTGTACTTTAACTGAACTTCTAGTTAAATATCTGCTTAGTTTTCTAACGTCTCATGATATACAGTTTAAAATTCTACATTCGCTTAGTAACGCAGGGGTCAGACTGGGTTGCAAGTAAACTTTCGAGCCAATAGACAAAAACTTGGAGCAAACGTAATCAATTCGAAAGCAAACATCACACCACAATCAAAACCGTTTTAGTGAAAGGGCAAAAGTTTGTTTACCTCAACGCTACAACAACAAATATGCTCTATTCGGCGCTTGGATGGGTAGAAAGTTTTGATAGGTGCTCATGACTGACTCAAATTATTTATTATAGCATTCAGAGGTCAACTTATCTATGTAGAGATCAATCTTTCAACGATCAATCACTTTTCTATTAGATACCTGAGGAAAAAGGTACTTGATTCGTTGTAAAACTTCAAGAGAATGGAAATTACACTTTATTTCTTCTTAGAACTAGTCTGCCTAAATCATTGTTTTAATTTTGTCCCTTACCTACTCGCATATTTCACTTTTATTGTAAAGACAGTTATTATTTTTCGTCTATTGCCCATGAATTAAATTTTGTCCCTCTCTTTTCTTTTGATTCCAGCCTGCACGAGATACAATAATTGCGGTGTCGCACTTTGGTGTTTCTAACTTGTTTAATTGTTAAGTACCTATGTCGTATTTATTTTAAACTTCAAAGCAATCTACTGCCTCAGGTGGTACTTGAACCCACGACCTTTTGCTTGCGGTGACTGCTCATAATCGTGTAATACCTAAATGCTAAAATCCTAATAGTTACGTAATTTGGTATTGTTATAAGCAGTTACATAAGTAAACATTTTACATCATTTGGGTTGTGGCAACCAAATTCAGCTTGTCAGGACAGCTGGTGTCAGACTTTATAAGCTGTCATATTAAGCGTCTCATGTATAGATGACCCAAGCTGAACTGTCCCACCAAACTCAATGTCAGGGGGGCGCTACCATCGTTCAACTATATGGTTTCCAACATAGCAAAAATAGGACAGTTCAGTATTTTGGAACTATAGCTCTATCACAATATTGAAATTTATTTAGGGACAAACATTATTTTATATTTGTTAAGCTAGCAACCATAACACAAGCATATAAGTTGCTTACTTTGGGGCTAGCTGGGGTTGTGTGTAACTGGCCAAAAATTTATTTATTGAAACAGGGTTATTTAAGCTCAACTGGAAACAAATTCCCAAACTGATTTTGTTTTTTTACTGTCTCATCTAAAAATGCTATCAAATATCTTCAAATAGAGTAGAGAGTACTTGCTCCAGCTATAAACTGAGGTTCCCTTAATGATGTTGAAAAGGAACACTCCTCCCAGCTCCCTTGCCTTCTTTGGGTCGGCCGAAGTCACCCGCGCCTTGATCCTGGAGACCAGGTCCACCTTGCCTGCTGGCACCGCGGGCTCGCTTTGGTTTGCACCCTGGAAATAGGACAGAATATTTGTTAGGTGGTTTTTTTAATATAATCCGAAGACTATAATAATAATCCGACCCTTTTCAAGGCGAGAGTGAATAAGCACTTACAGGGCAGATATGTACCTAGACAGCATCTCCATTTACAATCAGGTGCGATTGCGGTTAAATACCTGTCTTGTTCTGCATAAAAAAATCTACTAGATTTAAAAACAGGAGAGAAGTTAGAGTGTATGTTAAATGTAATCAAGACTTATTCACGCTCTACTGTAACTGTAAAATAATGAATATAGCGTTTCCGCAATATACCGAATACGGCTATATGGTACGGAGCTTATGATGTAAGTTTTGGTTCTAAAATGTAAATAAGTTTTATAAGCATGATTTTTTAAAGCTGTTGAGTAAATGTAGTTTTGAGCACCAAAAATAAAATTAAAACTTTTAACATTAATTTATTTTGCAAACGAATTTTCAAAAGTTTAGACGCGAGCTTTTTCACTTTTCGCTGAATGCTAACGTTTGAATATTATTACGTTCACGAAACATAGTAAAACATTACATTTTAGACTGTCCAGTCCACAAATAAAAAGTGTGGTGAAATGAATTTGTTCTATGCATACAAAAATATTTTTTGTTAAATTAATTTGGAATACCTAAAATAAAGTGATTCATAGAGGAAATAATAAACGCGAAAGTTTAAGGGGTTGGATTTGTATGATGGCTAGCGAAAAAACTATGACATAAAGATAGATCTTTAGAGTAACTAATGTTGTGTTTATTTATATTACATATCATTAAAACTTGATATGACTCTACCAAAAAATAAAAAATAAAATCAATCACCAATATTATAGTTTTTTTGTATGATCATGACCCTAAGTAATAAGGACCATAATCAAAAAGAGAGTACAGCAGCGTCAAATAGTTCGCGACACCCAAAGTAGCCAAGTCCACTTACAAGGTGGACCGACGACATCGTAAAGGTAGCAGGGAAGCGCTGGATGCAGGCCGCTACCAATCGATCAACGTGGAAAGCATTAGGGGAGGCCTATGTATGTTCAGCAGTGGACGTCCTATGGCTGAAATGATGATGATGAAAGTAGCCAAAAAGTTCGCAACACGTCTCTCTTACTATTGGGATAAGGTTGTATCAACTTTTTGGTCACTTTGGGTGTCACAAACTATTTGACGCTGATACTGGCAGTTTACTTCCTAGTTCTATTTTTGAAAATTCAAAAAACAAAAGAAAGCCAACTCACCATGTTGCCGTGTGTCGGAGCGCGCACGCACTGACTCGCGGCGGAGGCGGAGGCTGCATCGCACTTTCACTCGCCGATTGCAAAACATTTACGTTTTGTGTTGTGGGGCCACCACACGACGGTGGGAAAGTAGACTTGCCTACTTTTTGGATTCAAGTTTAGTGAGCTTTTGAAAAAGTGTTTAAATTAGGACCTCCCTCGTTCGACTCATCATCTCCGAGTAAAGTGTCAAGTAGGCTATTCGTTGACTAAAGTCACAGTAGCAATTTACTAACAATTTATCGAATTTCACCATCTCTGAATGTCGCTAAATACTTCTTATTTTACTTGCTAAGTAGTGGTAACCAGGAAGTAACTAATTGGAATTGGAACATATGCTGCATTGTCTTCTGAACTCATAAAAATTAAAGTAGATAGTGAACGGAGCTATGAAACAGCTGAAAGCTTTATTTTCTGGTCTGGATACTCCTAAACTATTACACTTCACTACTATCCGTTCGCTTTCAGTTTGCCGCTGGCGATATGACGTCACTCGAAGGGAAGCGTCTATAACTTTAACAAACTATATTTAAATTATTTTTTATTTATACTTTAGATAAAAATTGTGTATTTGCGTAAAACAAGACACATTAATTGCGTTTAATCACTAACTAATTGTGTTTAATCGCGGTTGGAAGAGGGGACACGCATTCCACGGACCGGCAAACTTAGCGCGAACGGGTAGTAGAAGATTCACTACTACTGCCATGCCCATATGATATTAAGTTAACACCTGTACCCTCTTTGCGAAAATTTTAAATAAATTAAATGCACTTTTAGTCACTTTCCCATCATCATAATTTATTATACCTTATCAAAACATTTCATACAAAGATTAATAGAAATTACAATGTGAATACTACTGATACTACTAAGTTTACTAATAAGTGGCCTAAGCACCATTTTGCTCCATTATCAATTAAATCTTTCCTCAAATAAACTCAACGCGTGGTCACCTCAAATGTGTCGTCTCATGGAGCCTTAGCCATAATTTCACTTTTAGCCACAAATGACGATGACCGCTCGGTATTAAGATAAGTATAATATAACTACAGTTACTACGTTCACGCGTAAAAAAAGACGTGGTAATAACTACGTAATAACTAAAATTTGTTTTAAACTAGAATACAAATGCTAGCCAGCTACAGGTTGCGTTTGATTGAACGCATAACAAGTTTGTATCTATTTGGAACAAAAAAGAGCTTTTCTCGTCTGTTATTGGAACAAACTTTTCAAGTTTTGGTTTTTTAAGCATTCATTTGTTTTACTTTAATTCTAAAGAATCACTTTACTCAAAAAGAGGGAAACTAAAATTTGTTTAAATCAAGTTAGTCATAATTCGTTGTCTAGATGTGTTTTAGGTAGTCTACCACAGTCATAACTTCATCCAGTGTCCAAAAATCGACGCTCATCTCCTTTCACATTTATTTTGGGACTAATGATTTCACCGTGTGGTTTATGTCATTGTCCTTAGCTCCGCGGATTGGCAGATATTGTCTTTGTTAATATTTTCAATAGACTAACCACATGACTAACCACGTCTTCATTTACATAGCTGGGCATTAACTCGTTAATCCGTTAATCGTTAATTAACGAAGTTAACATTTCTATTAACGGATTAACTTTTAAGTTAACTTTAAAATATGTTAACGGACTCGTTAACTTCCGTTAAATGATCATAAGTCCGTTAATCGTTAATCCAGTACCTACTATTTACCAAAAAGATACAGCAGGCGCGCTGAAAAAACGCATTCTGACAAGTACGTTCGGGCTTCCAGAACTTCTAGAACCCAAAACAACAGTAACAAGTAACAACTAAAAACAAGATCACTAACGCAACGATATAAAAAATGCAATTTTTTTTGTTTATTTACAACTGAATTTAAGACAGACTGATTGAGCTGAAATTTGGTATACTCATGTAAGTACGATGACAATGCAATGTTATGGTACCATTGAGGTGGCCATAGAAACTCCTAAATGTAACGGCGGAATCGCATCGAATTTGGGTTCGTTGGATTTGTCTTTTCGAGCACTTAAGTACTAGATGATGTCCAGGGTCCAGATGATGGAGTCAGGAGGTGGCCATAGGAATTCCTAAACGAAACGGTGGAAACTTATCGAGTTTGGGTTTGTTGGATTTGCCTTTTCGAGCCACTTTGGTGCTAAATTGTATAGTAATTGTACCAAGGCTCTGAGATTGAGTTGAGATACAACCATATAACTAAAAAGTGTATAATAAAATTATAATTAAAAAAAACTTTTTTTTAAAACAAGTTTTTATTCTGAAAGGGAGTTGTACCACAGAATAATAATAAGTACTGAAAGATTGTATCTCAAACTCAGAAATGAAACTGCGACTGGTGTGATTTTCTTGGATTTATTTCCGTCTTCGCACGAATATTACAGAAAATGTCCGTTCCGCTCAGCAGCTCGATGGCAAGTGACGAGTATCTGTGATATCTTTTTAAATGTCATATTTCACAGGCAAAGGAATAAAGTCACAAGTAATATACTAGTTCCAAAATAACAGTATCAGATACTCGTCACTGTCATTGCGTATTTTAATACAAAAATTATATTATTGCACAAAATAAGTGTAGTAATCTTACAACTCGGCCATCCTTTATTAAGTGAGACCTCTCACTTATCTAATTATAATGCCTACCTACGAGTAACAACAAATAATTTAAATAATGACTCAACAATAATTAATAAATATTAATTACTAATTAATATACAACAATTACTAATTCATAAATAAAATTAAAATGCCTACTTTTATTTTATTACCTTGCACAATCTGTCACAATCTACAATCATCTGTGCGGTACCAAATTACTGAACACCATTCGCTATCTGCACTGATTGCTCGTGACTTGTGCTTGCTGGTGTGCTGCACAATCTATCACGATCTGCGATCATCTGTGCGATGTCAATCACTTGATACCATTATCTATCTGCACTGATTGCTTGTAACTTGTGCTTACAATATTAAAATTTAACTTCTAGTAACTTAAAATCCATCTACATAAATCAAAGTTAATTAAATTATATTGCATAACTATTAAGAAAGTACCAAAATATGTAACTTATGATCATCTGTGCGAAATTGTTAATGTTACAATTCCATTCGCTTTCTGCACTGACCATGACAGTTACAATCGTGTATCTAATCGCAATCACAATCAATATCAATATCAAGTCATCATCATAAATTCTACAACAACAGTCTACGATCATCTGTGCAAGACTAAGTTTAATCATTATTTTGCACTGACCGTTATTTCTGAACATCGTTGACTTATCCATCAACTACAAAATAAAATCCAATCAAAGTGTACCTAAACAATTTATAATAGACTCATTAATTATTCCCTTCATCACTATCATTACGTTCATTGTCACTTTCACTAGCCTCAGTGGAACAATCATTAAAATTAAGCCAGGGATGAATCTTATCAATTGCGACTATATTTTCATATCTTTTATTTCCCTTTCTAGTTAATGGCGTGTCTTCGACTAAAAATCGATCGTTCGGAAGGATTTTTACAATTCGATAGGGTCCCTGAAACTTCGGTATAAGCTTTTTAGATTTACCTAAATGATCCTTATCTATTACCGTTCTTTCTATTCTGATGAGATCACCTATATTATATGACCTTGCGATTTTCCTGTTCTTATCAAACCTGCGCTTAGCTACTTCTTGACCTCTATCAATTTTGTCTTTAGCATTGGACCTTAACTGCATTAGATCAGCCCCACTTACTAACTGAGAAGTTTCAGTTATCACATCACCTAGCATATTTTCAGTCGTGGTGACCAACTTGCAACCAAACAATAGTTCAGATGGACTTTTACCTGTACTTTTATTTATTGGTACAATTTACCCGGCGGTACAATACACCGAATTCTCCCCTATGTATTTTAGTCTGCAAATATTTCTAAAATCTAAAAAAGTTTATTTGTTTATCTTAATTTGTAAATTAATATCAGTTGTATCTTATTTATGATTTTAAAAGAATTTATAAAAGTATCATACCTGTTTTTGGATTTATAAATAAATCTTGTGATACGTCCCAGTCTAAATATTCCATAGTCATGAAAGTTAGCTAACCGAGTAAAGTTATGCATACATTATACGAGTAGACCTATTCCACATCCATGTGTATGCAAGAGATGGAAATGTGATTAATATAGTTAGACTCCTCATAATTGTGAGAGTCGAAGTTTCTGTAGCAAATTAATTGTTAATATTTACTTAGATGTCTTACTTGAAGTCCCAAGTTACTGACGCGATGTTATAATAACGTAACGTATTCAATTTGGGGTATCTACTATCATTTTAACTTGATTCTGCTACGAAACGATAGTTTGAGATAATGTTTTGACAACTGTGTGTTCTACGGCGATACAGATTTCATGTTATTTTAATATCTATAAGAATGGTACTTGGGATCAAATAAGGTAAAAAGGTTTAGTAACGGATAACTTTGTTTCCTCTTTAAAACTGGTATTCTGAAGAATATATTTCGTATTCTATCTATCTAAAAATCTTAGGCTGAGTTGCACCACCTTATTTTAACCATAACAATAACAATAACTGGTACCGCTTTTTGTATGGAGTTTGATAGATTTTTGACGTTTGTCAAAGTTAACGTAAGATGGTGCAACTCAGGCTTAATTTTTATCAATCATCAGTTACAACTACTTTTCAATCTAGAACTAAATTAAACACTGAAAATTGGTAGCTATCTACAGATGATTCAATAATCCATCTGAATCTTCACCCACTTGATGTAAGCTATTGAAAAACGAATAAGTTGACAATCAGGATTATCCCAGGAGAACACAGAAAAGATTTTCCAAAGAAGTCTCGATTCTAGATTAAAAAACTATCGAAAAATGGCGGCTCCTATGACTATGATAATCCCCGAACCCCGAACCCCGAACCCCGATCCCCTGCGGGTGATGTTAAATTGAAAACCCGTGTCGGCGCTAGATCCGATTATATTTTTAACTATGGAACAAATTCCGATTCCGAAACTGAATTTTCGGTTCGC